TAATGTGGATCAGATGGTTACAATGTGTGTCTTGTTGTAAGAGCCGAGTAATGTGGATCAGATGGTTACAATGTGTGTCTTGTTGTAAGAGCCGAGTAGTACGGATCAGGTGGTTACAATGTGTGTCTTGTTGTAAGAGCCGAGTAATGTGGATCAGATGGTTACAATGTGTGTCTTGTTGTAAGAGCCGAGTAATGTGGATCAGATGGTTACAATGTTTGTCTTGTTGTAAGAACCGAGTAATATGGATCAGATGGTTACAATGTGTGTCTTGTTGTAAGAACCGAGTAATGTGGATCAGATGGTTTACAATGTGTGTCTTGTTGTAAGAACCGAGTAATATGGATCAGATGTTTACAATGTGTGTCTTGTTGTAAGAGCCGAGTAATGTGGATCAGATGGTCACAATGTATGTCTTGTAAGAAGTGAGTAATGTGTATCAGATGGTTACAATGTGTGTCTTGTTGTAAGAGCCGAGTAATGTGGATCAGATGGTTACAATGTGTGTCTTGTTGTAAGAGCCGAGTAATGTGGATCAGATGGTTACAATGTGTGTCTTGTTGTAAGAGCCGAGTAATGTGGATCAGATGGTTACGATGTGTGTCTTGTTGTAAGAGCTGAGTAATGTGGATCAGATGGTTACAATGTGCGACCTGGCTGTCATCGCAACCCACTAGTGTTAATGATATTACATACGATTGGTTTCCCTCCTCAAGGTCTATTTATAGGGGTGAGAGGGCTATACAGTTGCTGCCTGCGGCTTTAAACAAAGCCATACGTTCCCTACATATAGAACAGGGATTGTATATAACATGTGCATCAAGGAAACACAAGACCAATACTGGAATAACTTGTTGGTTTCAACTGTGACGTAAGAGAAATGTCGAGGTTATAGATTGAGCAATGTACTCTCTGGTATACAAAGACTTGGAGACTTCTAATAGAAAACTACAGTAGAATAACGAGTTTTCTTTAGAAAATGCTGGATAAATAGCGTGCAAGGCATTGAGGCGCCATGTAACAAGGCACCAAAACACATTACAAAGTCATAGTCTTACATGGCACGAGACGGGCTGCTTCCAGGTAAATGGCAACATTAAACCAACCAAAATTACGAATGCATAACGTATTGCAAATGCCATATGTATGGCTTATGGATCATTCGAACAACATGAATACGGCTTATTTATAAGCGCCTGTACATGCACAGCATTTCAGACAGGCGGTGGGGTGGCTAAGAGGTAAAAGAGTTCGCTCGTGAAGCCATTTCTGGTGTCCCGGTCGGGATATTGCAGGAAGATTATCAAAAGAACCGCAATACCAAACGAACTAACTCATTCATAAGCAGGCTCTATTGTATTATTATATGAAGCAAATAGACTAAATCATTTACCACAGGCACACAGATACCACTTCGCGTAAGTTCTTCCGAAACAACATATAATTTGATACTACATATTATATGCCGTACTTCGAAAGGACAACATGTTAAATTCTATCCAAGCAAGTCAGGTCTAATTCTTCGATGGTCGGTACAACAAAGTCAATAGAATATACTGGAAATAGCCAGAAACTGCTAGTACTGGACGTGTGTATACATGCAATTTAACCAGGACGCCTTTCATGTAGGACACCAAGAGCTTATGGTGACCAATCTATATTGGGCTATTGTCCATGCATATATATATAAAATAAAACAGTTAAGGACGACCCCAATATTCATTTTTGAGTATTATAGGTCATAATATGACCTATTAAATACTTAAATATTGAAAAGTGGGGGGTCCTTAACTTTTTTTGAGAATATATGTGTTTGCAAATGACCAACACATTTTATTAAATGAATTCCCATATAAGTCTTATCAACACACAGGTCTCGGGACTATCCCAGCAAATACAGGGTATAACCCATACGGCGACCGTGGGTACGGCAAACAACTGCACTGCACCCGTGGGTCTGCAGTCAACAAATGACTGCATAGAGTACCATGATGCATTCAAATGCAATGAATACCACCAACACGGGGCAGACAACAGTATCCATATACAGATAAAAATCATGTCATGGTAACCTTCAGCAAGAACGGAGACCAACAATTATGAATATCCAGACTATGAACATATAGTAAAATATAATAGCATTCTTAGAAAATTATACGGGTGTATGCAACTTTTATGACCGTGCATGTGCACATCTAACGTTGGCATGACGATACATGCAGTTACACATGCAGTCGTTTCGCAATCTAGCATGCAAGAACGACTTGAAGGATACACAGTGCTGCGGGACACGACGTCATGATATAATAAAACAACAATTTACATTGCCCATGGTTTATTGTGTGTATGCATGCAGTAAGTTGTAAAGAGAGCTTATGAAATGTTCCCTGTTAGATACTGCATCCAGACAGAAGAGCGACAGTGTGATATATACGGGCTAAGAGAATTACTCCAGATTACGTCATAATGTAATCAGGCAAGTAGGGGAGGGATAGAGTAGGTACGTGGTGTGTTCAGTTGCGCATCACTGGGCACTCGCTGTTATCTCACTTCTGGAGCGATGGAATTTAAGTAGAGCCTTTTCATATAAAACCAACTGTTGTATATATACGGGTGTTATAAAATAGAGACATTTGACTAGAGACAATATAGGTATTGCTTTGAATTTAACTTGTGTATTAGGTTGAAAACAAATTATAAGTAATTATGAGGAAGTCCATATGATTCAACAAATATCTAGAGTTAGTTTAAAACCCTTTTGCAAAATGTAAGATATTTCCATTGGAGACAGAACTTGTCGTATATAAATAGTAATAAATATGTAATACACTCAAACACACAAGAGTTTCTTATGAAGCCCAAGAACATATAATCTGATATTCCTGAATTTGTTAACAAACGCGCGCGTGTGTGTGTATACACTGGAGATGAGCTATGATACATCTTTATGCCGTGAAGACGTGCCTTTCTGCATTATGTCTGCAGGGAGCGGCATACTGTCATGAGTGATTACAACACAGGTTATCTGTCCCAGTGGTATGGCCGCCATTATCATTCACATTCTTTGGTTGATAAACACTAACCCGGATGATGCCACTCAAAGTACCACAGTATTATCCAGACAGTTATAAATAGCACATCAATAGGCCTACGCTGCGACATCATTCAAATAACCCGTAAAAACTACGCCCTTCGTGCTAGTTCGGGGGAAAAAGTTTCCAGTTGTTAATACATTGGCGACGCCATTCGTTTACAAAGATGGTTCTACTTCAAACCGCGTGTCAAAGACAGGGGTAAATATTCAGTAGAGGCAATCAACTCAGTAATGTGGTCTTTCTACATGTTGGGGACCGTTTCTTGAAGCATCGGGGTCAGAGTCTAATTCCCAGGCCACTGACGATACGTTTGCGCCAATGGGGACTCGCCGTTTGTCTCCTAGGATGTGATAGAGATGAATAGTCCCTGTTCAAACAGGCTGGCTACCTGAATGCCTGCTTTGGCCCCGATAACTTACAGCGTTACCGCTGTGAGAGGAATCTCGTTTACTTAGCATGCCCCCTGTTGGCGGGCCATCTTAATTTGGCCAGCTTATCTCGCTGGAACTGTATGGGGTTGACAAACACTACCTGTCTGGGTACAGCGCAAGAGGCGCAGGTAACTTGATAACGCTGCTTACCTGCCTGCCAGCTCTCTCTCTCCTAGGCTGGCCCGTCGCAGACGACATGAGCAGACGACAGATCTCGCTTTTCCTTCATATTTATAACCTAATAAAGGAAATGGGGAAATAGTACATACTTTTACTTGAATATTCTATCATAAGTTATGTTAATGGATTCTCATTTGAAACAATGTTCCATTTTTAGAAATATATGTAACAATGCCAAAAGCGAAGGAAAAGTTTGTGTCAACTCCCATTATTAAACTCGAGTACACAATGACTCAAAGTCATAAAGATAATATCCCCTGAGAGGACGTCAGCTTTTTATAGATAACATGTATACACATGGTATAATAACTCGTAAATTAAAGTTTTATTGTGTGAATTCCAGCTTTAGTGTCATAATTTATGTACTCGAAATGGTACCCATACCATTTATAACTGTAAGAAACAACATGTTGATTCCCAGCATCACTGCAGACCGAAAAGTGGACAATATTTCTGGCGTACACTATTGTGTACCTTATGCGAACGGCCTCTTGGTCTAATTTTAGAAACACAGACCGATATTACCTGGGTACTAGTAGACGACCGTGGTATATGGGCGTGTCGTGGCCATATTTGTCAAGCAAAGATGCTGATTGGTCAGCGTTACTTTTGCCCCCAGGAATTTGTATTGCCGTGCATGGTGCTACATATTACTACTCAGGTGTCACGTCTTTTAAGTTGGGGAAACATAGTGCCAGCTCTTTCAAATGTATTTTTTTAAAAGACGACATAATGTCGGTTTTCATTAATATGTTATTAAGCTGGGTCAAACCTTGCCAACCTTATTAGTGTAATACGTGTTAAAAAATTATGTAGGCTAAATCCCAGAAAATATGGTTAATATAACCTTTGAATATATCATCAAGTTCAATAATTTACCATACACATATATATGAACAGTATATTACCCCAGGATTGATAAACTGAAATTCCCAGTCTCGTTATATGTGAATAAACTTAATAACCACTTTTGGCGTTCATGCAAGGATATCTACATGCTTTAACGACTTTCGTATCAACACCTTTGATATTTAATTTTTTTTTAATAATGTTCCACTTTGGCAATGTTAATTCGAAGTTCTGTAGGAACTTCCCACGACAGCCATTGCTGCGAATTGGAAATGTGTGTCATTATAGTGAAACTAATTAGAATTCTCAAAGCACTATTCCCCCCAAGCGCAAGCGGTGCTCCGCGCACCTGTCTAGGCGCCATTTCCATCAACAGGTCACTCAGGTACCAAATTCCATCAGTCGAAGCTCAGCGCCCCCTAGTGTCACAGCGCGACGTCCTGTATCTACGTGCACGCTCAACAGTGCAGGAAAAGGGCCATAGAAAGGACAGAAATCCCAGGAAGTGAAGTCTGCGGGCTCCATCCCGAAAGATGAATCATTTTGGCAGCGAATCTGCACAAAAGTCTCGTCTAAACTAGAGGTAAGTGTATTTTTCTGTGTCTTTGATCAACAGGTGTGCAGATCATGGTAATGTGGAACTAGCAGACCTCACGTGTCATGCGCTGCAGACTCGTATTCCACTCGCGACAAAACATGGCGGACCAAGTCGTCTCACAACTTTGGTCACTTGCATCACGTCTTTAACTCATTGTTCGAAAGTAAAGATTGTACGTATTATTTTGCAGCTGATCTATTTATTTATCAACTCAGTCACTTGTTTTGCTGACATTGTCAAGATAGCGAAGCACGCGGACAGTTATCGAGTTAGGGGTGTGTAATCGACTCGCGGTCATGAGCGAGTGGGTTTGGCCCAATTTTGCGGGAACACGGCATGGTCGAGAGCCGTTTGTTTAAACAGGATGCATTTAGAAGGCCACAGCTGCATACCGAATATTGCCAGCTCCATTTATCAAAACAATCAATAAACTTTTGAGAAAAGTTAGACTGAAAGGCTCACTGTTCTGCTAATCGATAAAGTGTAGAATCACCATTATTTCCCGGGGGCTTACTGTGTGACATGAAGACAGGCCCGAGGCTTGTTCTACCTCCCCTGACTTCTCGGGGTGGGTGAGATAACACGAACCCGTGTACACAGCCTGCATTTGTAAACAGCTTGTTTCTAAAGGGTATGGGTTGTATTTGTGGGTCTGCCAAACTTGGATTGGCAAACCCAGGTACAAAGTTTGGTTGTTATTTGGTGAATTTCAGGAATGCAGTGTTTCAGCAACAGGGGTATTTTTGGATTTGATTCTGGAGAAATAATCATCCTAGAAATCTCTGAACACCATGAATAAAATCATCGGGCTGGGGAGAATTTTATTTTTTATGTTGTGCAAATGTTCTTTGAAATCCATTGCAAGTTGGTAACAATAATGTTGTTGCAAAAGAGGTTCTATGGTCGAATAAATCAACAGGTGGTATGTGATTTGCAGCAATTACGTTTCATGTGTTTCCGAGCATTTGCTAATAAAGTTATTTCATAGCTGTTGCAAATATATATTTGCCATATTATATGTCTTTTGGGGTTGAAATTTCATTAAAAAAACAAAACAAATATATTTGTTGTCATTCAAAAAACAGTTTTTAACATATGCAAACTAAGAATGAACTAGTATTTATATAATCAATTAATTTTCACATAATGCCACCTGCAAACAATACTGAGTCTTTGAAGAATCAAACAAAAAAGTGTTTATTGTGCAAAAAGTCCTGATGTTTTCGAATTCAGTGCAGTTTGTGAAATAACTGCAACTGTCATGTTTCAAATATGTTGTGATGTTGCTGTATGCAAAGCAAGAGAAGTCTAAGACAGATCTCCTTTTCTGCTACCTTAATCTTTGATGCTAAAACAGATGAATTGTTTGGCAAATGTAAGAGTAAGATGTTCATTTTGAAATTTGTCAAAGAGGTGAGCATTTATGGTAGCTTGTAGGCACATTTTGAAATTTATCCAAATCTTTTTTTCTCAGAAACCCTGACTGAATTGTTTAAGTACACCTATAACAGATCCTATTATCCATAAAATTAGCTGAAGCTTTATCTTTCCTCAAACATATAAAAGTCAGAAGGAATGTGTGCATAGTCAGAAATGTGGACATTAGTGATTTTGTTATGTAACCATAGAGTTATGTTATTATTCTCATTAAATATTATGTAGCACATGACTTAGCACGTTTCAGTACAGTCCTTAAGGTTCACGAATCCTACTCACAGCCTGGGGCCATGGGGTAGCCTAGTGGTTAAAGCTTTGGCTTGTCATGCCAAAGATCCGGGTTTGATTCCCCACATGGGTACAATGTGTTAAACCCATTTCTGGTGTCCCCTGCCATAGATAATATTGCTGGAATGTTGCTAAAAGCGGCGTTAAACCATACTCACTCACTTACTCGGGACCTACCCTTTCCAAGTTAATCATTCCAGCCCAAGCAGAAAGACATCTGTATGATGTGTTAGACATGGCTGTTTTACATTGTGAATGGAGTTGTAATATTCAAAATAATAATGGATGGGTGTTAAATGTTCACATTATGTAATCCGACTGAACAAAAATTATGTTTAAAAAGACTGGTGTGCTGCATAAATATCAGATCAGGCTATGACAGGGCACTCCCTTCATATGTTGGCTAAAAATAGATTTGAATGTTTCTGATCCTCAGTATACCAGAAAGGTGTGATTGCACAGGGCATGACACAAGTCTCTATAAGAGGGACTGTGATGCGGCACATTGCTAGCACTAGGGTATAGAATGAGTTGTCACTGTGTTAACCCGGGGGAAGTGATGCTCACGGTGTTACACACTGTTGTTATAACCAGTCATGTGCTACAGTGACATAAGTTTCATGTGCCCCACTCTTAGTGAAAACACAACTGGATGTGCCACCCCACCATCTACCAACTCCCGCCATTTCCATGCCTCACAAAATGGACTTTAAGTAAGTTTGCATATTTTAACAAGATAAGTCAAAATGTACACAATTTCCTGAATAAATGATACCAATAATTAAACATCCAATAAAATAATTGGGTAAGTTTTATCTTACTGTTTGCAAGTTAGACAGATGATCCAGAATCAGAATAATAAGCTGAGGAACTATGTTTTTCCTTGCAAACTGTACAACAAATTCTTTAAATATTGCCCTCATCACATCCTCACTAGAGAAAGGCATGTGATATGAAACAATAGCATTGTTCAGTTCTGACCAAAATCTACAGTTGAGGTTATGAGACCGCCCCAGTTTGCCAGCTTGGACTAAAACCATGAAATACTGTCATATTTGACCTTTACAATGGTGAAGGGAACGGAATCATCAGCTAGGGATGTTGACAAGCTTTAGAGGTTCGGCACCAGGAAATGGCAGTGCGCTGGTGATGGAAGATAAGGCATAACTAGGAATCGTCTCGTACATAACAGGAAGCAAAGCCACTGTACCACTTTCAAACTGAGACATGGTATCATCAACCATTTTCCGGTTTTAATGAAATTTGTTTAATCGTGGTGCTTTAAAGTGGTTTTTGTCATGCATGTTGTGTAGGGATGCACGGTTGAAGGTGGAGTTGGTACGAGGGCAATGGTATCAGCCAGCTAGCTGGTTTCTATTGTTCACAACCTGTATGATGGTAAGTACGATTTGCTCATGCACAGTTTGATTGTTGAATATTTCATATAATGAAATTCAAGTTCATATCTTGAGTTCATATTCTTGATTCAATTTCATAATCCTATAGATGGCAGATGTCAAACCTCACCAGAATGCACATGAAAATCATTTGGCAATTACAATGTACTGCAAACATATTGTACATTTATTTGATGGGAAAAAAGGCCATTAGGTAATACATTGTTTTTTCCCGGCCTGACTTCTTGCACAAAGTTTGAAAGGCTACAAAAAGAATTGAATTAGGCACTTCAGCCTTACATTTAAATCTGGCGTGAAATCTTTAAATGCTATTAATACCTTGAATTAGCAGCCGCTCTGGACACTCCTCTTAAAGGTATATTACAATTAGGTTTCCTTTGATCATGTTATCTCAAACAGGATAATGAATAACTTTGAACCTCTTGACTTGGATTAGAATAGTTTGTAGTATATTTGGATGTTAAAGTGGAATCTCTCTGACAATGAAATAAAGTGTCCTAATAAATCTGTTTGAAAGTACAATTTGGACTTACTTTTAGACAAGAGAACTGAACAATGCCTTTGGTAAGGCCTTGAATGTGGCTGAGTTTTGTATGAATAATTTTAAAGAGATAGTTTACAATTATCATTATTAATCAGGTTAAGTAGAAATATTTTAGAGCATTTCCAATAAATATAGACGGATACAAGTATTTATTAGGGAGTAAATAAATGAGTAAAGTATGTGTATCTGATAGAAATATAGTGAAACCCCTCCAAATGTTTTGTTAATTAATTTATCTGCTATCCATCAGTATCCTTTAATTAGGAACCTTAAAAAGCTAATATCGTTAATTTGATATCTTGAAGAAGCGGTTTCATGAAAAGATGATGATTGGGTGTGTGTTAATAATGAATAGAGAGAAGTGGAAAAGTAATATGACACTGTAACTATATGTCAAGATATGAAAATAGGAATGGTGTTGCTTTGATGTTATCTTTGCTGTGCATTTTGAATGACATCTATGCATAATTGATGGACTGTTGATTGACTAAACTCTGATTGATTTGAGAGGCTGTAAATTCTTTGGTTCCTGGGATTCCAGCTTGTGCCATGTTATGAATGTTTAACACACATTTGCCTGGTTGTTAACTGAGTAGACGTGTGTTATGGTGGCACCATGGCAATTGTTGTGTTGGAGTTCTTCAAGAAGACATCTTGTTTGAATCACTATGGTGAAATGGTCATTTTACCTGCCTGATAATTGATGCCATGCTAATTCTGAAACTACTCAAGTTCTCAGATTCCCTTAACATATTAATGAGATGTTTGTATCTTGCCACATCTGTTATGTTGGCTTTGGTGATAGGCCTTGCAGAGATATGTGTAAAACCTTCATAATGCTTGTTGAATATGAAATCTGTAATAACAGAATAAAAATGTCTGGGTAAAATTCTTTTGAGCTAGTTCTATGAATTGCAATGATTGATACTGATAACAGTGTATTTTTCACACAAAAAAACCCCACATGAATACAGCATTTTAGTAGAAAATAAAAGCATGAAAATTGAAGTTGAATAGATTGATGGTGGAAACTATGTCACAATATTATGTACTATTATTATTAATATTTGCAGTAAAAAAAGGCATGTAAATATTTCTGAAGAATGACACGACATGGTAGTGTGGACTGGTAGGGGTTCATATGGATGTGGGATGGTAGGGTAGCCTAGTGGTTAAGCGTTCGCTTGTCACATCGAAACCCCGGGTTCGATTCCCCACATGGGTACAATTGTGTGAAACCGATTTCTGGTGTCCCCAGGCGTGATAGTTCGGGAATGTTGCTGAAAGCCGTGTAAAAC